GGTTTCGGCAATACTGTATCATTTTTAAATATTATTTCTAGATTACCTATACTAAAATCTCTACAAATCTGAAAGACCAAGTACACGCTATTAACTATTCCTACAATAAATACTGCAACTTAAAGAGAAACACACCTACCAGTTCAGAACTGTATTGACCTGGAATACTATAATGGTGAATTGTCTATCATCAATTGTCAGACTTAAATGGGAAGTTCTAAGAAAAAGATGCCATATATAATACTGATATATAGCTCAAGTCATCACTTCTTTGGTATATAAAGAAATCATCAAATTTCTGCCTTACTCCTCCACTAAACAGGGGTCAATATTTTAGACAATTGAGACTTAACAACAACTTTACAAGGTTTATTGGCTTATAATATGTATAAATACCTGTTGGCATGTGTCTCTGGTTTGTCATGGACAAACAGACAATGGCATCTGGTTGGCATTCGCTGCCTGAAGTGCTGGGAACCCCTTTCATTTATGGCTTCATTGTGAATTCCGTTGTTCAAATTGACCTTCAGCTGGAGGATTTGCAGGTGACTTCCATATAGAAAGCACTTGTTAAATATTATTTGGAAGTATGCTACCCATCATTGATTTTGAACTTTTCTGATATCAGCTATCTGACAGACTGAAGGCAAATTAGAAGACTGAGTTTATAGACCATCAGAAGAATTCCATCAGCAACATAAAAGGCAGAAAACCTGAGGTGAGTCTCCGAAAAAAGTGAAATGTTTGCAGCATTCCCATTTCCTCTATTCTGATGGGGTCGGGGAAAGACAAAGAATAGGGCCTCTAGCAATGTCACTACCCCTTTAAGACACAAAGAGGAAAAGGGGTTCTTCAGTATCCACCGGTGACCATCAGCAGTCTTAATAAAAACAACATTTTAGAATATATCTCAGAGGTTTCTTAGGATACAAAATGTTTTTAAATAATAAGCATAATCTTTACTAGAAGTATTTTCTAAAAAACCTCAAATGTTTGCAAATTCAATGTTTTTAAAGAGATCCATTAAAAAGTCCATAGATTATTTTTTTTTAATCTTTAAAAACAGGCCATTTCTTGACTAATAACCTAAGGATTTGCATACAAGTACTAAAGTGGAAAAAAAAAAATAAGAGGAAGAAAACATGGCATTTCATGCATTTTTAAGAATGTAATGAAGTCCGGACCAGTGTGGCTCAGTTGGTTAAGCTTAGGTTCTGGCACCGAAAGGCCACTGGTTTGATTCCCAATCAGGGAATGCCCAGGTTGCAGGTTTTATCCCCGATCGGGATGCTTACTGGAGGCAGCCGATTGGTGTTTCTCTCTTACATCCATGTTTCTCTTTCTCTAAAATCTCTTTTAAAAACCATATTAAAATAAAAAGAAAGTTAATTTTTTTTAAAATGCAACAGAAAGACTGGCTGCCCTGTATAATATTTAAGTAGCCACAAGAACAAAATGTCTGATACAATATTATAGTGTTAATTGCAGAACATACATTATGATTAAAGGTAAAGGGGGAAACCAAAACAGTATATAAATATTTGGCACCTGTCTTCTTGCTTTAGCTCTGATGTTATAAACAAGTGGCCTTTTTGTGGTTTATTTAGTGCCACGTTTTTCTCACTTTTGTGCTTTTCCTTTTTTCCTCACCAAGAATATTTGTTTCCATTGCTTTTCAGAGAGAGAAGGGACAAAGGGAGTGAGAGAAACATGGATGTTAAAGGGACACATCAACAGGTTGCCTCCCAAAGGAGCTCTGACTGGGGCAGGGAGGGAACCCAGGTAGGTGCCTTTAACCAGGAATCAAACCTCAGACCCCTCCTTTCACAGCCCGATACTCTAACCCAGTGGTCGGCAAACTCATTAGTCAACAAAGCCAAATATCAACAGTGCAACGATTGAAATTTCTTTTGAGAGTCAAATTTTTTAAACTTAAACTATATAGGTAGGTACATTGTTATTCATTTAATTAGAGTACTCCTAAGCTGGCCTTTGCTAAACATTCAAGGGGCCAAAGAGCCACATATGGCTCGCAAGCCACAGTTTGCTAACCAATGCTCTAACCACTTGGATCCTGGGCACTTTTGTACTTCTTGTTGGTGACTCACTGTGCTACATGTCCCGGAGCACAAAGCTGTCGTGTGATCTGGTGTCCCCAGAATGTGGGGCTGTGACGTGCCTTATGGAGGTGACATACGTTGGTGCACTTTGTTCAGGCCTGAGTTACAGGGTGTTGGCTGTAAGTTCAATGTTAATGAATCAACCATATACTAGTAGATTACACAAGACGTTTTAAAACACAAGCGTACATAAAACAGGATTATTTGTTGCTGGGCTGATGAAAATGTCTGGATCAGAAGCTCATAGGAACCTAAGCCTGTTTCTCTCTGGGGAGCAAGCGCAGCATTGGCTAATTCGGTGTTTGCGTAAGCTTTGTAGAACACAACTATGGTGAATAGTAAAAATCCCAATCGAAAACTAGCCCCTTCATGTTTGCATTCATATTTCAGTAAAAAAAAAAAAAACTCTCCTCTGTCATTTCCTTCAAAGATCACCAGTAGAGACAGAAGCGCTTGGCCTTCATGCTAACAGGTCACGGCCACGTGTGTTTCTCTTTGCACAGAAAAGTAACCCCTCTTGAAAGCAGTCTGGCTTTCTTTCCAATGTGAAAATCTAAGGGGCACTGTTTAAACATGACTCTTCTGTGAAATTATGATTTTGAAAACTAGGTTCTTTAAAATAACACTGACAGTATGAGCAATGACAATAAAAACGTGGCATAGGAATTTTAAAATAGCAGTACAAATTGGAACAGAGCTTACCTTTCTTACCCAAGTCAGATATTTTATTGGAGAAAGAAAAGAAAGAGATTACAGTACTTAACAATCCAAACAAGGACAATTCAGGGTTGAGAGAAAGAAAACCTGAGAAAGCCCATTGTCTCCAGGAAATTAATACAGAAAAAGGGAGACCCGGGAAACAGTTTATGGCCGAATGCACTAGTTTCATGATAAACACACACGCACAGCACATCTCCATCAAGGGAAACTCAATCACCTTTTTACAATTTAGAGAGGAGAGGCAGCTCTTACTTACCATGGCTAAGCCATGTATCATCAATACCATGAAGCTAGCCATCACTTGTAATAGCTTCTATAAAATACCACAGTGAGACTGCAATAAGCCCAGAAAATGGGCTACAAATCCCAGCTATGCTCGGGCAAGCAGTGAAGCAAAAATAAAAATAGGTAAAACGGAACCAAGACCTGGAGCGCATTCATCCCAATTCATGACTGGTAAGGCAGAGTTCACAGGCCAAGGTTTGAAAGTGACGTGTTCGGATCCAAAAGACAGTCATTATACTAGATAAAAGCATTTATGTAATTCGGGGAGGGGTGGGGCGAGGTGATAAATTCTCAAGGCACAGGACATAGCACAGAAAAGCTTACTTACAATTACATGACACCACAGAATTGTACCTCTAAAACATCGCGTTAAACATGCAAAGATAAAGAGACGCAAATGGGCACTTGGTCCTTTGCGATCTCCCCAGTTTAGACAAATAATCTAAAAGATGCCACACGTTTCAGATTGTAACAACTCTGGGTATAAAGGAGATGCCAGCTTCAAGTTTCTTTTCCATCATCCTACTGAAGTTAGCCATGAAATGCTGCATTCACAATCCATGCAGTCATATAAAAATACATGTATTCCATCAGTTGCCATCAATTATTGGAACATAACAAAAATAGTCATCATATATATATATATATATATATATATATATATATATATATATATATATTTCATATAGTGTCTAAATTCTGCCATGAGCAGAGCTGTCGTTCCGTTTCCCCTCTGTGAGGTGAGAGCGAGCTCATGCAAGTACTTCTGACACAGTGACACATGCGGTCTGTCATTCTAAGGACATGCACGCAGCTCTCACTTTGAAACATGATAACATGATTCAGAGTCGTACAGCGTTTGCTGAAATACCAGCTTTCATATGATTTCAATACGCTCTGAGCTGAAAGGATCCTTGGATGGCTTTCAGAGATTGGGCATAGCGCATAGTTTAAAAGGTAATAGTAAATAATTCTGCTAGCACACACCAGTTATCACAGTAACTAACAGTAAATAATTCTGCTAGCACACCCTAGTTAACGCTAGGGTGACGCAGGCAGTACAATGGATACCATAGGGTAAAATACAATGAGTTCTTCATACAGAGCACATTATCCACGTAGGAAGCAAACTTAAAATACAAACACTGGCAAAAACAAGCAATCTCACCTACTACTCATCCTAGCCCTTGTTAAAATACTGAGTTAAAAGGCAGATACTTGAAACAATGCTGGTGATAGGCGATTTCTCTAAAAACGACCCTCAAACGTGAATGTGTGGCCATTTTTATTTACAACAGTCAGATCATGTAGAAATGAGCTCTTAACCATCAGTCACGACATACACATTAAGCAATACTGATGTGACATTCAGACATTTTTTAATTCTCTAGCTTTTGTCAGCAGTTTGGCAAAGCAGGTGATACATGAATGGTTTCAATATTTTTAAAAGTCATAAAAGAGAAAAATATATAAAATGTACAGTAGTTTCTACCCACCCCGGGCCCGCCTAGGTCCCTAGACAGCCGCCCAGCCAGGTTCGCTTCTGACTTAAGGCAGATCCCAGGCCTTCGGCAAACAGCCCCATCTCGCCATCAAGGGGGCTCCCAGTCACTGGAACTCCTCCAGGGGACAGGACAGGAGCCAGGGTCCCTCGGGTGCCATTCCCCAGATGCTCAAAATGTAACTAATTTATTAGCATTAGCAGATTTGGTCTACAGGGGAATCTCACTGGTCCAGTTTGGAGCCTACAAAAAAATGGATTGTCTTTAAGTATGGCATTGGAATACGAATAGGAGAAGAGGGTGTGGCTTTTATTCCACAGATATGGATACGTTTCCAAACATGGCAAACACTCAGACAGAAAGGCATGCCTACCATTGAAGGTGGGGTCCCTCCGGACTTTTTAAGATTCTTGGAAGGCATTCCACGGAGGCGACTGAGTCTAGCTTGGAAACCTGGAAAATTAAACACCCAATTTAGGAGATCCTGTGATCACGGGAGCAGAGGACTAGATCCTGTCAGTTCCAGAAGGAAAAAAGTTGGAGCAGGGAAAACACCTCGAATGAAAGTGAGGGGAAAAATCGAAACTCATACTTAAAAAGACCGGAATGAATGGCAGGTCGGATTCCAATGTGGTGAGCACACACTACCCACTATTTACAATACATATCAGGATATTTCTCTCCCTTCAATCCCCTTTCTATCACCCCAGTGTGTTCACCATGGGCCTTTGGAACAGTCTGAAAGCAAGAACATTAGGTTCTTTCATGCCCATTTCAGCCTTTCTTCCCTCAACGACTAGCCCTGGACTGACAAAGCCCACCGTGTCCAACGTGCTACTGACCTCTTCTTCCGGGATGCGACATGAGGGGGAAGGAACCCGTTAGGATGCTTTCAAAGACGGGGTCTGGCAGGTGCCTGTCCAGCTCAGCGGGATCTTCCTTCTCCCACCAGGGAATGACCCCCGTGATGCCACACGCTCCTCCCGAGTCCTTTTCATAAAACCAGTCGCTCTGCTCATCGTCACCTGTGCAAACATGGGAAACGCCCCAGAAACTCAGCTGTGTCATCCCAACAGGTTAATGCTTAAAAAGCACAAGACATCAATGAAATTTGAATTTCAGATAAATGATTACTTTTTTTTAAAAAAATTATTTTTAATTGATTTCAGAGAATTATTGAGAAGGGGAGATAGAAACATCAATGATGAGAGAGAATCATTGATCGGCTGCCTCCTGTATCCTACCTGCCTCCATCCCTCCCCTCACTGGGGATTAAGCCTGCAACCTGAACATGTGCCCTGTCTGGGAATTCAACCCTGAACTCTGACCTCCTGGTTCATAGGTCGACACTCAACCACTGAGCCATGCTGGCCAGACAATGATTACTTTTTAATATAAATACAAGGTATGGCAAAAGTAGGGTTACAGTTGTGAGTACAAAAAGAAGTTTATTCTTGTATTATTATTTATTAATTGGTGTATTATTTTCCACATAAACTGTAAACCTACTTTTGCCCACCCTGTATATTGTACTTGTACAGAATTTTTAGTCAAAATACTGCATGGGAGATGCTTATTTAAAAAAATAATTTGTTATTTATCTAAAATTCAAATTTAACTAGGGATCCTGTATTTCACCTAGCAATTATATAAATAGCCTATAAAAAACAAAACAAAACAAAAAAACCCTCAACATTTCATTCTATCCCACAGCTTTACTTAAAAAATGTCTTTAACACTATAACAAGAATTGCCATCAACAATTACATATAAATAAAATGTTATGTGTTAGAACCAATGTAAAAAGTTAATCACTTGGCAAAACTGTAGGGAAATCCAAGGCAGTGACTACCAGTCCCACATTAAGGAAAAGCAAGCCTTAATCGCCTGCAGAGAAGGAAAAGATGTAAGACTGTAGTTTGTTCTTTGCAGCAGATAATTGTGTGTATTAGCTTCATCTCATTATTTCTATGGAGTGGAAAAGGAGAAACAGTCATGAACAGATGTGACTAAGTGAAATTAATCTGATTAAGCTCATTAGGAAATGGTTGTGAAAAAGTTGATTTTAAATGAAAAGTGACAGTGCCACAGAGTTTACAGTAAAACTACAATGGACTACAGCAATGTATTTATAAAACACAACACTATTCAATGTGTAGTTGAGAACATCCATGAGGATAATGATGGATCAATGTAAATTCAACTTGAAATGTACCAAAGATGTGAATCAACAGTATTTTATGTGTGTGTGTGTGTGTGTGTGTGTGTGTATTTAAAAACAATAGAGAAATGTATAAAAAGACAATAAATGCTAGCATAGTCAATGTTTTTCAATGATTGGTAGGCTTATCAAAATGTTACTTTAAAAGTTCTTTCCATTTAATTTCATTACTGTAGTCAACATTTATAACATAACTTTGGGGGAAATGTGTATTTTAATAATAACTTAGGTATATCTTAGCCCCAAGGGTCTACCATATTTCAGCAGAATCTTAAGTTTAAAAAAGCCTTGGTCTTTAAAAACAGTTACATATCTATTTATCCAGGACTAAAGGCTCATAAGTAAGCAAAACAGGATTATATAATAATAATTTAAAGCACTAAATTTCGTTGTTTTCCTTGGAACTTACTAATTTCCTCCAAAGACTCTCAGGAGATGAAGTTCACATTCATGATTAAGTATTTGCAGGTACACCTGCTGTTTTTTTCCCTTCCAGAACAGGTAGTTTCACAATAATGCCCCAGGAAATTTCAAAAATAAAAAAAGATCTACACGGTGAAACATTCCTGTTTAGCGGTTTACAATCTTGAGCGTATGAAAACTGTCTAATCACAAACTGGACAGGACACGTAAATGTCACAGCTGAATAAAAATGACAAACGACTTGCACATCCAACTTGAGAAATGCTTAAACAGACCGAAATGCATTCGAATCAGGAGGGGAGTGGGGACCAGTGTCTCTTGAACTTGCTACAAGAGACACCACGGAAAGACTGTAGGGCTTTCTCAAGGAAGATAATCCTCCCATAATATAATACTATTAATAGCTCCACATCCTGGCTTTTGGGATAATCAATTGTTTCAGGTCATGAAGATAGGATGCTCTCCTCCACTCAGTAGGTGTGTAAGGTAAAAGGATCGCAGTCAACTTAGGAAATAACAAGACATCCTCCGAAAATAAGACCTACTTACAGGTTTCCTTCTGAGTGAAATATAAGGCACCCCCCAAAAGTAAGCCCCCCCCTAAGCTAAACATGAGAGATTTGGTCCACTGATTCTGAAAGAAATGGAGTCACAAGAAATTCACCAGGAAATTCAGGAATTGGATTATTATGATGATGTTCCAGAAGATGATGACATGATTGCCATTGAATAAATGAGTAAATTCTTGATACTGTAGGATTCACAGTTTGTCTGGTTTGTGTTGACAACTACCGTACTACCGTACCGTATACAGGTAATAAATTTCCTTTATTTTCATTTAACAATGTGTGTACCATATTCTTCTTCATGGAAAAATAAGACATGCCCTGAAAATAAGACCTAGCGCATCTTTGGGAGCAAAAATTAATATAAGACACTGTCTTATTTTTGGGGAAACAGGGTAATAAGCAAAACTTGACAATGAAGGCGTTCTCCCAGAGAGAAAAAAATGACATTTCAGTACCTTGCCTTCCCTCATCGTTGGTAAACAGGCCAGCATCAGTGCTGCTGAGGCTGCTGGAGTCACTGTAAAGAGGGAAAAGAGGGAAAAAAAGATCAAAAGAACAATTGATCTCCCGCTGTAACATTTTAAAGAGACCTGACTGCTCAGGGGTGGAACTGGATGGAGCCTGACAAGATCTGAAAGGAAGCGAGATGATTTTTTAAAATATCCAACTGCAACTATCTCGGTTCCATTCACAATGGAGCATATTATTTTTGGCACATAAAACCCCGGGAATCTAATGGGACCCTGTCAGTAAGCCAGATGTGACTGCAACGAGGTGCTGACATAATGGATGTGTTTTATTATCTGCTTTCATCAAATGCTCACCACTGCCTGCTCAGGCCATGCAATGAGGCCTGAGCCAGAACACCAGTGCTCAACACAATACGCAAGCCGCACTCCAAGTCCGCCTGAGCCTCTCCCCGCACCTGACATGCAAGAGCTGGGAATGAAATGACTTTTCACAACCGCATCTGCAAAGATCTTGGAGAAGGCATCACTGAAGAGTTCACAACAACTCTCCTACTTGGCAAAGAAGAAAAAAGTTGACAACAGAAACAATCCCTTACATCAAAGTTAGGGTCCTCTGAGCAAACACTGAGCAAAACGTAATATTCCCACCACAAAGGAGGGAGTAGGCAAAAATAGCAGGTTCTCATGACTTCTGCTGAAGTTTGAGAATATCAGAGGCAAAACGAACATACAAATTAAAACAGTAGACATTCAGATGACCTGAATAAACTGTCACTGTTTGTCCCAATACCAGCAATGCTTATGTGATAATATAGTTTAAAAACATACAAAACAAGTCACATGATAAGAGAGGTTTGGCTTATAAAGTAAATTGAATGATGTTCTTTAAAAAGTCTCATGCACTCCTCTCTGACTATAATTCTTAATTTACCAATCAGAAAATTACCCCCCGCAGCTGATCCGATAACCCCTAGAATTCAGTAACCTAACTTATTTAAAAAAACAACCATCCCAATCAGTTTTAAATTATTTAAATTGATATATTAGGATTAAAATATTAGGATTAAAATGGTAGATGATATCTAAATCCAAACCTTTTCTGATTACAAAATATTTCAATTTTTTATTTTAAAAAATAAATGTAAACATTAAAAAAAAAAATGTGACACATTTTCTCAAGGAACTCTGAATTAGTACCTTTCCCTCTTTCTTCAAATTCAGAGAATCTATGGAGCTCCCTGTACTGCACAAATTTTAATGAAAAAAAAATGTTTTTCTAAGAGCATCAAATGTTTCTTATTTACAAACATATACACTCCTCTCTCTAAAATATATTCTTACTGATTTCAGAAAGGTAGGGAGAGGGAAAGAGAGAGAAACATCAATGATGAGAATGATTGATTGGCTGCCTTCTGCATGCACTTCCTACTGGGGATCCAGCCTGCAACCCAGGCATATGCCCTGACCTGGAATCAAACTGTGACCTTCTGGTTTATAGGTCTATATGCTCAACCATTGAGTCACACTGGCCAGACTCAATTCTTATTTATAAATTAATTCCAAGGACATATATAGTTTGAAAAGCTTTGGAAGTAGTTTCAAAAACACTAGCTTTTAAGTAACAAGAAAACAGTTATAGAAGAAAGTTTAAATTAAAAGAAAAAATTTTGTTTTATTTATTCAAGAGTGGAAACGTCCTCTATGAAAATGTGTACCTTGACTGTGGATGGCTGGGTGGCCTTATTACACCTTAGGTATTCAAATGCTTTTTACAATGAAGAGAAAGAGTTTCATCTCATTTCTCTCCCAGGGTAGATGTATCAATAAAAGGCGGAAATCAATAAAAGGAGGGGCTTGCACAATCAATCCAGAAAGCGGGCAATCTGTGAATAATCCAGAACCGAGTACTTATCTCCTCTGCCACATCCTCCCAGCCAGTGAGCAAGATAATTACTCTCAAGTCAAGCTAAGCGCTCCCCTCCCCCCCGCCCCCCGCAGCCCCCTTCGTCACAGTGGGCCCAGTGCTGACATACAAAGCATACAAATAATTCTTGCTCTGGTCTCTGGTGTAAAACTGACAACTTTCTTGGAAGAAAAGCAGATACTGTACATTTCTCAAAGTCTTCCAGAAATATTTTTTAAAGTCATTTTTACTTCTTTAGAAAAATTGCATACATGGTAAGCCATCTGCAATGAAAAGCCCATTCTATAAAATTTTACCAGATCCTACTCCTATCTGTAATCATAATCATATTTACAGACAAATACATATTCTATATACATACATATAATAATCCACATGATAAAAATGCCAGTCCCACAAATTAAAAAATCAAATACTTCTAATTAAGACCATTTGTAAGGAATGTTTTTTCGGCATCACAATTCCGCATTTGGTTTTGAGGACACAACTGAAAGGATGAATAGCGTCAATACTTGCTCATTTCCTGCCAGTAGCATTAGTTCTGTGTAACGGGAAAATGACCACTTACCTTCGGATGCTGTTAAAATAGGACTTAGCGCTGTGCTTTACCTTCTTTCCAGCATGGATGGTTTAGACCAAGCATGTCAAACTCGTGGCCCACGGGCCACATGCCTCCTTTATTTGGCCCGTGTTAGCCTTTGAGTTTGACATGCTTTGTTTAGACTAACCATCAGATCACTGCTTTTCTCCTTTGCCTAATGACAAGTTCAGGAGTTCCAGATGGTGAGGCGGGCTTTACAAATTCATAAGCGATCAGAATTCCTAGCAAGCTAGCCTTAACATTCCAAGCCACACGGGCTGAAATACTATTAATTCTTGATGTTTGGTAATCAGAATAATCTGAAAGCCCTGGCCAGTGTGGCTCAGATGGTAGGGCATCAGCCTGTGCACTGAAAGGTCGCTGGTTTGAATCCCAGTCAGGGCACATGCCCTGGTTGCAGGCTGGATTGCCGGTAGGGGTGTACAGGCGGGAGGCAGCCCATTTATGTTTCGCTCTCTTCCTCTCCCTTTCTCGCTCTCTTTAAAAACAAACAAACAAACAAAAACACAACAACAAAGCAAAACAAAATATTTAAAAAATAAAATAAACTGAAAAAAGTGAAACTAAAGAGAGCCAATACTAAAACTCCATAATTAAACAAACAATTATAAACCCAATCCTAGGAATTACCAATGTGCTATGATCCAAATGCACAACCTTTCCCATCGAAAATCTTTTCCCTTTTCTCTTTGTATCTGAAAAGTACGTCATCACGACACCATCGAAAGGCTGTGTAAAATCAAAGAAGCAATTCTGCTTTGGGCTGATCATAAATTATAAGGAAATACGACCATGGTTCAACAGTATCGGCACTACCATGATTATAGATCATCATCATTCTAAAAAAAAAATAATAATAATAGTTAAAATACAAAACCACAACCACAACATGGTAACCAGGCGCCCTTCTAAGTAGGAAACAGGAAAGCCACCTTTCGCTCATGAGCTCGTCCGAGACCTTCTGCTCCTCGTATTCCATCTTGTCCTTGGTGGCCTGGCTCAGCTCCTCGCTGTCCAAGACCAGCCCTTCGTCCTGGGTTTTGGGGCCCTGTCTGGGGAGCCTCAGCCTCCGCTTCTTGACCTTGCTCTTGGGAAAGTCCGGGTACTGGTACGCCCGGTCGTGGTCCATGTCCTGGTCCCTGCAGCCGTCGGGGGGCTGGGTCATGGGGCGCTTGCAGGAGTCCTGCGGCAGGTCCACGGCCATGCGCTTGACCTTGCGGCGGCGCCGCAGGCTGCGGCTGCCCAGGCCGTCCAAGGCCAAGTCCGCCTCGTGCCACAGCGGCCGCTTGCCCCGCGCGCCGCCGCCCAGGGCGGATGCCGGCCTGCGCTTGGCCACCAGCATCTGGTCGTCCGAGTCGCTGTGATCCTTCTTGTAGCTGGCGGGGTTCTCCCTGTAGTCCTTGCCCGGCTCTTCCAGGCTGGAGTCCGAGCCCTCGCTCAGGCCGTGGCCCGCCTCCCACGGGTGATGCGTGTTGTAGGACCTCCGCTTCCTCCCCCTCCGCTTCCGGGCCTGGCGTTTGAGGGGGCAGGAGAGGCTGCGGGCATGGTCCCCCGTCTCCGCGAAGCCCCCGCGGGCCTGCTCCGAGCTCTCCTCCAGGGCCGACACCAGGTCATGCACCAGCTCTTCCATGGTCCGGCTGAAATGCCTGGGTTTTTAAAGAAAGAAAGACGGGTCAACAAAACAAACACTCAGCATCCAAATGTTAGCCTAGCTGACAGTGGTCAGCAAACTCATCAGTCAACAGAGCCAAGTATCAATAGCACGATTGACATTTCTTTGGAGAGCCAGATTTTTTAAACTTAAACTTCTCCTAATGCCACTTCTTCAACATAGACTCGCCCAGGCCGTGGTATTTTGTGGAAGAGCCACACTCAAGGGGCCAAAGAGCCACATGTGGCTCGCGAGCAGCAGTTTGACACAGAAACTATGTTCAAATTCAATGGGAGCCTCGCTGTTCTAAAATGGCCCTTCATTTTGCTTAGAGTTCATCTGGAAGTCTCTTGGCCTTCTTAAATTACTATTTTAATAAAAATAAACAGAAGCCATTGAACTCTCACCAGTGAGGAAGTGATCCGCTAGCTGGCAAGGATAGACATCCGTATTCTTTGGGAATGTTTATAAATTACACTGGTCCTCTGGAACCAACTCTGGAAGATTCTAGATCAGCTGATGTGATGGAGGGCCCAGTACTCGGATTTTATTTCTTAAACGTTACAGGTAATTCAAATATGAAGATCATAAACAACCACGTTAACAAGATACTCAAAGGATTTACTAGTAGTTCAGTAGATACGTCAGTAAACTATTGAAGATGGTTTAAAGGTTTCCATAAATATGGATGCTAAGAAGCTATAGTAATATCAAGGAGTGCCTAACCAGGATTTAGGTGGAAACCAGAGGGGGAAAAAGGAGCTGAAAGAGTCACATTTCTAAATCAGTCATCTGTCCCACAAGTCAGTATGAACATAGCAAGAGCAGATCAGTCTTCAGAGCACATTTTGTCTCCCTTCCTTAACAAGGTATTGCAGAGTGAAACATTTTAAGAAAGGTACCCTGGAGAGGATATCAGATGGAAGTGTCTTACAGTGTTCTAGAAGTCCTTAGGGATCAAAGTATTCTAATTGTAGATTATACAATTCTACAGTCTATAGCAGGGGTAGGCACACTTCTCCGTAAAGGGCCAGTTGGTAAACCTTGTAAGCCCTGAAGGTTAGTGGGTCAAAAATATCAACCTTCACCATCATAAGAGGAAAAATACCTCAGGCCATCCATGAGCAAATGAGTGTGGCTGTGCTCTGATTAAATTTATTTACAAACCGGGTAAAGGCAGGCCTGCTTTGCTGACTCCAGCTTTATAGACTCTCTGTAGTCTATAATTTTAGACACTCGCAAATTCCCGATAACTTTCAACTTTTGCCTTTTCATTTTAATGAGCACTAAAAACAAACACCTGTGACCCAACTGGGCCTGCCATGTATGAGCAACGCATGCACAATGCTTGACAAATCACAGATGCGTGACAAACCATAGATGTGAAAAACAAAACAAAACTGTTGTGTAAGCATACTGATGAATGACTAAAAAAATGAGCAAGCAGCCAAGGAAAAAGATGACTTGACTAAAAATTTAGCAATCCAGGTTTCCACACTTCTGCCATATTAACAACATACTCTAAGTGGATAGTTAATAAGTGAGTCAGGTAAGGGCATACTATTGAAGATGGTTAAAAGGTTTCCATAAATATGAATGTTAAGAAGCTATGCCTAAATGAGTCTTATGCCTAAATCATACCGGCCATTGCTTTGATTTCTAATTGTTGAAACAGAAACTTAACTCAAACAAACCTAACATGAAATTAAAGACAATAAAAAAGAGTTATTTAAAAATGAACATATTTCACTATGTAGTTTTCCAGACCTAAAAATACCAAATAGAAATGAAACTATAGAAACAAAGGTCCCAAATCAACAGTTCAATGTTTTTTCTAAAAGCAAAGCCACAAAGTTAAATAAATAATGTTCAGTATGCTAATTATGAAGGACTTAATTTTTAAAATTTGTTTAGGTCAATCTTTAAATATACTTCCTCCAAAAGCCCAGAAATTGACTTCAAGTATAAATTATTAATAATGTAAAAATAAAAGTCTATCTAAATACTAAATGTTATTTGTCCACCAAATGAATCAAAATTTAAAAGTTAATGTTAGATGAACCAATTTAGATATATTTAGGATCCTAATTTCAAAATTGTATGTGAGTGCTGAGGCAGGAAATAGCAGACACTCAACTATTATAACATTTTTTTATAAAAACATAATATGAATCACTTATAAGATTTACTTGAACAAAACGTATATATTCCTTTCCCGACACATAAAAAGTCACAGGATCTTTATTGTATAAAACTTTCCTTCCTTTGGCATCTATATTATAGAATATAGTATTAGTTCTACTTTGCAAATTGTTAACAACGAGATAAATTACCCAATTGGTGCCTAAAAGCAGTAGTCAAGATGAGAGTTAAATACATCAGGAATTCCTGGTAGGCTAACAAATCCAGACATATTCTTTCCAGTTCACATATTCCTTAAGATATTGTACGTTATTCCTTAAGGCATTGTACATTAATAGGTAATATACGTGGATTGTTTAAGAATTTTTGTAAATATACTGAAATCATACTACAAATGACACTTGGGCACGTTACTTAAAAAAATCCAGTAAAAATGATGAATGACAGGGTGGCTGTGCAGATAAACTAGAAAGCAAAGGTTCCAGTTGTCTGGAACACATTCACTCTGCCAAATCAAGCACGATTTCAAGAATTTCATTCAAAAACACTGATTAAGTGCTTGGCACTGTCTTAAGGGTGAATCGTATGCTGCCAAATGAAAACAGGGTAGGCTCTTTAAAAGAGAACTGTATTATAGCCAAAACCCGTTTGGCTCAGTGGTAGAGCGTTGGTCTGCGGTCTGAAAGGTCCCGGGTTCGATTCCGGTCAAGGGCATGTACCTTGGTTGCGGGCACATTCCTGGTAGGGTGTGTGCAAGAGGCAGCTGGTCGATGTTACTCTCTCATGGATGTTTCTAGCTATCTCTCTCCCTTCCTCTCTGTAAATAAAATATATTTTAAAAAAAAAAAAAGAGAGAGAGAGAACTATATTATAAAGAGGTGCCTAACCAGGATTTTGGTAGAAGGTGGGAGAGGAAGGAGTTGAAAGGGTCACATTTTTAAATTAAATAGTCACGTGTCCCACAAGTCAGTATCAAGACAGCACCAGCAGACCAGTCCTACACAGCACGTTTTGTCTCCCTTCCTTAACAAAGAGCTTGATTAGTGAAACATTAGTAAAAATACCCTGGAGATGTGATTCCAGGTGATGGAAGAGTCTTATATCTTGTTTAAGGTGAGCAGACGTCCCTCTTTCCAAAAATCGGGACTTTTTTAAAACGCCGCGGGACTCTGGACAAATTGTTCAAGATCGAGACTGTCCCGCCAAAAGCGGCTCATCTGGTCACCTTAATCTTGTTCAGTGTGGTGGTTACACAGTATATCCATTGCCAAAAGAAGAAATACTAAACACTTAAGAAATATGTTTTACTCTAAGCTAAATCACATCACCATTGGGGAGGAAAAAAATGTGTTCCCTGCTTTTCTGAATGGAAAATGTGAGAATTTCAAAGGAGCATAAACAATCTATATTCATTATAAAATGAGCCATAGGATGATCTGATCTCTGTCCAAACAAGATATTCTTTTATCTTCTCCGATGAGAAAGAACCGGGATTCCCTGTGTTCTCATTCATTGTCTAATCTAGGAATGGACATACATTTTTTTTTTTTTTTTTTTTTTTGGCCACTTTTCACCTGTTGTTCAACTCTTGGTGCTTGAGAATTCACTGTCAGTAGGAAATCTGCTTGGATGTTTCACTGCTTGCCTTGGGTATGCTTGGAGGAAAAGATGGTGGGAGGAAAGTGGAATAGGCATTGGGGTTTTCAACTGGAAATCGGTCACCCAGACCCCAGCTCTAGGACTGAAAAGTGTATGGAAGTGTAGACAAGTCACTCCAGTATTCCGTGCCAGTCCCAGTAATAATCTTACCACAGGGCTGTCAGTCATAAGGGTACAGAGGAAGCAATCTGATGAGACAAAGTCATTCTAAAGTGACAAGGGTTGACAAGCCCCAGACGTAATCCTGGCATTTATTTCCATGTCCTTACCTTTCTCATTTGAACTAGAATGGGATGTTCGAGGGACAGAAACAGTTACTCCCACTCCAAAAATAAAAACGGGTGGGGTCTGGGAGGGTAGGGTAGAGGCCTGGGTGGGTAAGATGGTCGGGAGGGTAGGGGCCTGGGTGGGTGGCTAGGGGCCTGGGTGGGTAGGTAGGGTGGGCGGGAGGGTAGGGGTGGGCGGGAGGGTGAGGTCGCTTCCTCTATCAAACTTCCAGAACCTCTAGATCTCTGGAATTTGATCTGATATGACCTAGCCCATTTTTAAAGGTAAATGCGGGCATTAGGCCTGGATTCGGATCCAAGCTTCCCGCCCCTGATCCTGTCAACACATCCCTGGGAAGTGAACTGCCTGCCCCAGGAGTACAGAAAGCTTTGCCCCTAAAATGCCGCGGCGTGTCAGACAAGCCATCAGCCAGCGTTCACCGCCTCCCGTCACCGATCCCCTGCACCCCCGCCCCCTCCGATCGCGTGCACCCCGACACGCGTGGGGGCCAGGCCTGCCTCCGGGCCGCCCGCCACCACTCCCCCAACCAGGTCGGGCGGCCTCGGGCCAGAACCCCGGCCTGTGTCGCATCCCCCCTAGGGCCTCCAGCCTCACCAGCGGTTCCCGGCGGCTGCAGCTCCGATCGGTGGGCGCCCCGCGGCCCCGAACATTAACGACACCCAGGAGCCTAGCCTCGAGGCTCAGGCCCGAGGACTGACTCCAATCAGCGCCACCCTAGAGACGGGCACCGAGCGCTTCAGCATTTTGAGCGCAGCTTCCGGGAAACCCCCATGGAGGCGGAAACCGGAAGTCGGGAGCAACCACCAGTCCTCTCCCACCGCCCCCTACACACTGCCTCACTTCTCCTGATTTTACTCACAGAGGCCACCAAAGTAAATTTAGCTGCTACTAAAAGTATATTGGTTTTTTCTCTAATGTTTTAGAAGCAAGCAGGGTGGCAAAAAGTGGAGTACACCAACATCGGAAACCCCCCCCGGAATCTGCCGAATGGTTTGGCCCGGTTGCCTTGGAGACCGAGAGCAACACCAGCGGGAAGGCAGACGCCGGAGGCGATGGCCAGGCTGGCCCAGCTGCAGCAGCGGGCCGCCCTCCTAGCGCATCAGTTCTACTTCCGAAACAGGTGAGCCCGCCGCCGCCCGGGGCCGCCCAGCGCCGGCTGGGTGTGCAGGCAGCCGGGTCTCAGCAGAGGTTTCCTGACCACACGTTTCCTCCTTCGAGAAATAGACACCTGCCCTTCTTCATTCCTTGGCTGCGGATCATCATCATCACAAGTTTAGAAAGTAGTGTCACCCTACCAGGGGTTACCCTTAGGGAGTGGAGGGGGCGTTGTAGATAGCAGCTTGAGAATGTTTTATTACATTCCCATGAATACTTTTGGTCTTTCATCATTAATAATTCATTTAGTATTCATGTAAGGAAAAGCCAGGCGTCCATGAAATTGCAAAAGGGGTTTATGACATCATCACTCCGCAGTTGGATGAAAAGAGGTTTAAGAACCTGATTGGGGCCAAAAATCGGTGTGGCTCACTGGATAGAGCGTCGGCCTGCGGACTGAGGGGTCCCAAGTTCAATTCCGGTCAAGGGCATGTGCCTTGGTTGCGGGCACATCCCCAGTGGGGGGTGTGCAGAAGGCAGCTGATCGATGTTTCTCTCTTATCGATGTTTCTAACTCACTATCCCTCTGTCTTCCTCTCTGTGAAAAATCAATAAAATATATTTTAAAAAGATAAAAAAAAGAACCTGATTGGGATAACATGGGCTCCCCAGTCTGGGTGAGCTAGTGTGTCCCCCATACCTGGAAATTTGTGCCTCCATTCTTTCAAAACCATCATTGAACTCTGTTCTGTGACTCATTTGTCCCAGTAAATGGACAATATCTAAAGTGGACTATTGGCTGTGGGCTATTTGGTGTCTTTTTTTTTTTTTTTTTTTTTTTTTTTTGTCAAGAGGGGGAACAAATCCTCAGAAAAGCCAACTTGAACTTGACCTACACAGATGTCAAGGGGATGCCTCTTTCATGGCTCGGATTCATCGTGGGTCTCAGAGCGAACTGGTCAAAACAGGAGCAGAGATTTTCCAGTATCCATATATTAATTAATAGGAGAGGGCTTACTAGGCATGTGGGCAATCATATGAGCACAAAGTATAAATTAGGCATAGTGTCTACCTTTAAGGAAGTTGACATCCTTGAGAGCTAAGAGTGAAATGATATTCAAAAACTAATAATTTTACACATCAATATAGCTTATAATTAGAGGGCAGCTAATATTGGAATTTTATTCCTGGTTTCTAAAATAGTTACAAGTTATAGGATAATGAGAAGGAAGGAAAAACTACTGGGTTTTTAATCTAGTATTTAGTAGCTAATACATAGAATGCAGAGTAAGCACTGTATATTAATGTGCAAAATGCATAGTTTTTGCATATTACTTAACAGATATTTCACCACACATTTTTTCATTTTTATTTATTGCAGTTAATTTGTGGCCCCGATATATGCACAAGAATATAGTGTTATCCAGGGTTATAGTGCTTATTTCTAGTTGATGACGAATTGACTAGAAACTTCCAGCTTTTTCTCAATGTTTTATTACATTCCCATTAATACTTTTGGTCTTTCATCATTAATAATTCATTTAGTATTCATTGTGATAATACTGATCATAATAAATTTATTTCAAATTCATGTAGATGTCATGTTTTATTCACTGCTATAGGATTTTTCATCATAATTTGGAACTAATTAATATACCATTAAAATAAAGTGTTACCCACATTTTTCATTTTAATCATAAAATGTCTAGCAGTTCATGACATATTGTATGAGTAGTCAGCAGCCCAGTGGTAATCCAAATATCTGTAAATTTCATTTTTAAGCAGTATTTTTAGAAAAGGGAGCAATAAATAAATGTGTATAGAAGTCAAATTTTAGCACATAAGTTAAAACTTAGCAGTAAGTGAACTACTAGATATTTTTAAATGTTTCCCTTTAAGTTATATAGTTCTAATAAGTATAGTACAATATGTGTACTTGGATTTATATACATTATTATTTATAACTCAAAAATGAAGCAACTTAATTTTGCTCTTGGCTATGTATTATATGTTAACACTATTACCAGGAGATATTAGAAGACATAAACTCAAACTAGATAATTTGATTGCTTATCTTTTGCATAACAACAATCATAAGTAAAGGGTAAGTTGAAAGGACATATTAGATGTATCTATACACCTATTCATACTTTTTCTCCGTCTTTTGTAAGGGTAGTAGGTGTTTATTATTGGTGGAAAAGAAGAGACAGCTATGCTCAGTCATTTTAATAGTGAACATTAAGAAAAAGGAAAATGGGTCTACTGTGATATTAAATGTTAATGGCAACAGTGGGTAAAATAACCATAAAAAATCATTTAATCCTATTATCAAGACTTTCACTTCTCATCAGCCTTACTGAGTGACGTCATTCTTTCCTTCTCATGCTCTTGTTTGTTGTTGTCTTTTTAAAATATGACTTTATTGATTTGGGGGAGGAGAGAGAGAGAGAGAGAGAGAGAGAGAGAGAGACATCAGAGAGAGAGAGAGAGAGAGAGAGAGAGAGAGAGAGAGAGAGAGAGAGAGAGAAACATCAATGAGACGGAAACATGGCTGCCTTTTGCAGGCCCTCCACTGGGGATCCAGCCCACAACCCAGGCATGTTTTCTGTCCCAGAATCAAACCTGGTTACTAGGTTATCACTCAACTACTGAGCCACACAGGTCGGCAGCACGCTTTTGCACATCCAGATCACTGCCTTTGATGCAAATTTTGGTTCCTCCCTTTGCTTTTGTGGATCCCTTTTCTGTCAGGCTTTCTGGGTAGCTCTCCTTCTTACCTATAACTAGCATCCACCTACTTATTTCTCCAACTCCTGGTCACTGACAGCTTAACAGCTCATCCTGTTTTTCTTTCTCTCAGCCGATGTTATAATATTGTCTAAGAATTTGTATTGTTTCAAGTGTTTTTACTTTCCATTCTGTTTTTCTTCTAATTATGATGAATACACATGATGAAATCTATATATTTAATATAACCTTTAATGGCAACAAAAAAATAACCTCTCTCCCAAAAACCGTAATTCTGAGGGAATTGCTTTTAAAAGCAAGAAATAGATGGCTGGCCATTCTTTATTCATTCAGCAAACATAAAATGCTATTTATGTGCCCAGCAGGATTCTGGGAGGGAAGTCCCTCTGTGCCCACAGTAGTTGCCCTGAGCAAATCACTTCATCAAATGGGGAGGAAGGGAGCATGCTAATGATTGCTGAAATGAAAATGGAAGTGTGTCTTCATTGAACCTCTTTGGACTGGAAATTAATAGATCTGATGACTGCATTTTGTATCTTTATCTCTTTATAACCCCATGGCCCTCTGCCCTGCCTCCTTTAACTGAAATGGACTTTCTGAGAATTCTATCTAAAATTGGCATTCTGTGATAGATTTATTTTACTTAGAAGCGATTAGTGTAACTGATGAAATGACTGAAATATGCAAACATTTTAATCTCGCTTGATATGTTTTTTTTCTTTATTTTGTTTCTTTATTTTCTTATAACATCACTTGTAAATTAGTTAGTTGAAAAGTAAGTGAGCATAAAAATTTTTTTAAAAAAGTAAAACTGTTGAAAACACATGGCCCCTCAGAGAAAGGTTTATGTTTTAAATATAGCTTATGCTTTCTGAAATGCTTTTTTCCTATCTAGTATTTTTTAAATTTACCTTTATTGTTGAAAATACTACAGATGCTCTGCCCTCTTTTTTAATTTCTATTTAAAATGATGTTTGATTGGTCATGACCATTTTGGAAGAAATTAAACATTAAGTTTAACTGACTGACTTACTTTAGAATTATATTAGTCACTAATGAAAAGTTTCTTTTCTTTTTTTTTTTTTTTAAGTGTTGTGGATGCATTTAGAAAAAAAGAAAATGATGCAGCAGTTACAATCCAGAGCTGGTATCGAGGATGTAAAGTTCGGACGTATATCAGGTATAATTTTGTCCAGGAAAATTCAGATACACCATAAAAATATACTCCTTGCAAAATGTAACTTATGCATGTAATGCTCATTTCAAGTAATATTTTATGTTACTGTAATGTAGCTGATGAGGTATATAATCTTCTTTTTAAAGATATAATTTTTTTGGTCATTTTTCTTACATATCAGAAAAGAAAATTATATTGACCGTTTCTCAACTTGCAGCTATTCTCAATATTGTAAACCTATTTGACAAAATTCTTTTCTTCAAATTCTACTGAATATGACTGACAAATGACTGATATTAATAGCAATTAATTCATTGACTGGTAAGAAAGAAGAAAAACAAACCAAAAAAAAAAAAAGCTTATTTTTTTCCAATAAGTTGGTAAATGATACTGGAATGATGCCATTCCTATTGCAAAAGGATTGAACTTGCTCTTTAACTGGTCCACTTGCTCTTCAATGCTCAAACTTCCCTTCAGTTTCCCTTCCATTCTGAAAAAATTAAAAAAAATTTCTGGATAAGGTGAAGGACGAATATGCCTCATCAGTAATAATTCAGAATGCAGGCTAGAGATCATACTGTGTATGTCTTTAAATGATTACCTAGTAGAAACCAGGCATGCAAATTAAAGTGTGACGTTTTGCCTGGCTGGTGTGGCTCAGTGGTTGAGCATCGCCTCATGAACCAGGAAGTCATGGTTCTGATTCCAGGTCAGGACACATGCCTGGGTTGCAGGCTGGTGTCCCAGTAGGAGGCAAGCAGGAGCTAGTAGATCAATGGTTCTTGCTCATCATTGATGCTTCTCTCTCTCTCTCCCTCTCACTTCCTCTCTGAAATCAGTAAAAATATACTTTAAAGTATGAAGTTTTCATCTTTGATCACAGTAAACTAGGAACTTGGCAGCAAAGAAAGTCTTTTGAATTCAGCGAACACAACATTCACCTGGACAGACTGAGTAATATAAGGAAAGAATTGGGTGGGGAACCGTTTTCTAACCTCAAGAAGTATTTCTAAATTCTGCAGTGATTCACAGCAATAGTGCCTGTCTTATCTCTCAACATGTCACCATGACTGGTTTTATTGTCTTAGAATAAAAGAATACTTTAGAGAGTAAATATTGAAGAATAATTGAAATTTTAAAGAATTTATTTCATCAGCAGCCCCAAAGAAATACTGAATCATTATCTATACTTTTTCCCCCCCTCTTCTATACATTATGAATTCTTTCCCAGGATGGAAACTCTCTACTGTTTGAAAGTACACATTCAGTTGGCTTTGAATTTGATTTTTTGAATAGCAGGAAGGTATATTCTAAGCAGGTTGTAAGAGATATTTTTGTTCCGGTGAAAGCATACTAATAAGCATATTTTTCACTCAGGTATTTACACAGAGTTGCAACAGTTATTCAGAAATGGTGGAGAAGTTACTTAGGAAAGAAATGTTATCAACGCAAGATAAAGGTAAATATTACCCAATTTATATATGGTTGTATTAAAATTATACAATATGCCATAACTCATTCACTTCAGTCAGATTTATAAGTAATTTTTAAGTTATCTGTGGTAAATATTTACATACGAACAAAATTGGATTTAAATTTTAGTGCGAGACCTCTTCTGAGAGGCCATTCCTGATTTTCCCGTGGAGAAGTGATGACTAATTTCTTTGCAACCAAATGACACCAGAGCTTTATTTTTGTTAAAGAACCTTTCACAGTATATACGTACTTATTTGTTGATGATTTTCCTCTACCTTTTAGATGGTGAGTAGACACTGTAGCTTGTTCATTTGTGGATCACCAACATGTACACTGCTCTCTGGCCCATAACACAGTCAATAAACATCAATTGAGCCTGGGTTGTGTGGCTTAGTGATTGAGCAATCGACCTATGAACCAGGAGGTCATGGTTTTATAATTGGTCAGGGCACATGCCCCATTTTCAGGCTGGATCCCCAGTGTGGGGCATGCAGGAGGCAGTCAATCAATGATTCTCTCTCATCATTGATGTTCCCCTCTCTCTCTCTTCCTCTCTAAAATCAATAAAAATGTATAAAATATATTTCTGGAAGAAAGGAAAGGAGGGAGGGAAGAAAGAGAGGGGAGGGGAGGGAAGGGGAAGAAGGAAGGGAAGGGAGAGGAAAGGAAGAAGGAAGGGAAGAGAAGGGAAGGGAAGGGAGGGGAGGGAAAGTAAGGAAGGAAGGGAAGGGAGGGAAGGGAAGGAAGGGAAGAAAAGAAGAAAGATGTGAGCTCTTTGCATTTGTGCTGACGACGTTAGGACACCTCCATGTGGTGGTGTCTTGCAAGGAGCTCTGGCTGTATCTCCAGAGCATCTGGAACACCATCCTCGGCCCAATTTTTATAATAAATTTCTTTAGAGAACTTCCTAATAAGTTATGTTAACAAGTCAACACTCGGCACCCTTTGATGTCAGATCATAAAACTGAAAGATAATGTATTTTTCCCTTCAGGGTCTTGCCTTTTAAATAAACACCTAAAACTGAATATGTTAAGACTCTGACTTACTATTAATATTAACTTAAACTTTATTCATATATTTTCACCGAATTATGAAATGAATTTAGTTTGGTTCACCTGCTTTTATATAATTTTATTTATTTTTTTAAAATATATTTTATTGATTTTGTACAGAGGAAGGGAAAGAGATAGAGAGTTAGAAACATCTATGAGAGTCATCGATCAGCTGCCTCTTGCACACCCCCTACTGGGGATATGCCCGCAACCAAGGTACATGCCCTTGACCGGAATCGAACTCGAGTCCCTTCAGTCCCCAAGTCGATGCTCTATCCTAGGGGTGTCGAACTCAATCAGAGAAGGGGCCAAAATCTAAAATCCAGCCTAAATCGAGGGCCGAATGGTTTACTGAACAGTCATAAACTGTCATTGTGATGGAAACCCAGCGGAGTGCAGTGATGACAGCGCGGTGCGGGCCACATTGCAAGGCCTGGCGGGACGGATTTGGCCCTCGGGCCTTGTGTTTGACACATGTGCTCTATCCATTGAGCCAAACCAGTTTCGGCTGGTTCACCTGCTTTTAAAGATTCTATCAATAGCAACTGGGAGAAAGAATGAAATTGACTTTTAATTGTTTTGGGGGTTTGGAAAAATATAGGTTATTTTAAAAATCAGCTGTTGATAATCACCAGGTTGGTATCGGTTGCCAGCAAACAAGGCAAAGCATATGCCACAAATACTCATGATTATTTGGTAATCAATCATCTTAATGATTCCACTCAAAATTATGAAATGAGGGTGACACTGCTGTGGAAAGTAATGAAGGCCCATCCGCTCTGGTATCCATATGTGCATGTTTTTTTTGTTTTGTTTTGTTTTGTTTGTTTGTTCGATTGTTTTGGGGTTTTTTTGTGTGTTTTTTTTTTTTATAAAAGAGCAAATCTTTGTCTTTTATTTTTATTTTTTTAAATATATTTTTATTGATTTTTTTAGAGAGAGGAAGAGAGAGAGAGAGAGCCAGAAACATCGATGAGAGAGAAACATTGATCAGCTGCCTCTTGCACACCCCCTACTGGGGACGTGCTCACAACCAAGGTACATGCCCTTGACCGGAGTCGAACCTGGGACCCTTCGGTCCACAGGCCCATGCTCTATCCATTGAGCCACACCGGTTTCAGCACGAAGACAGTGAATTTAGAATGAAGTCTCATCGTTGTGTTCATTTGTGAGTAACATATTGCAGCCAACTGTTTCTTAATTGCCCGACTGTTGATGAATAAGCCAGCGCTGCTCAGCACAGACAATTTGCTTTGGATCAAATCAAGGCAAATAATACTAATTACAGCAGAAGTCTTTCCTACAAATTCCGATGTGTTGGGGGAGGGAGGGTGGAGGGAGAGCGGGACCCTATGTAAAATGTGAAGGCACTTGTCTCTGATTTTGCCTGACACAGCACCTGTTACCTGGGCTCCAGAGAACTATTAGTTGCACGAATTTTCATTGAATAAAAACAGATCAAGTTGCAATTTGTGTTGGAAAAACATGTGTATTTTATTCCTTTGCTGTATATTGCCCTCTCGCGACCCCGGTTCACCTTATATTTTTAATCAAAAGCTGGGATGGAGATGGAAGCGTTATTGAAAGCAGTGTTTTCATTGAAATAAGCTATGGTGGCAAATGGGGATTTGCTATAACGGAGACATGCTTATTAATGTCTCTACCAGAAAGAAACCAAGACTTGAGGAAGTCTTCCCTGTATCAGGGGATTTGCTGTAACGAGATATCATTGTATTTATGGTTTTATGGTGGTAAAAATGAATGTTAAACGGAACAGAATTCCCGAGCATTCCTTGGGAGGCAGCTGAGTACATAGCATTTTGTACAGATGGTTGGAAGGCACAATTTTCCTCCATCGCTGCATCCCCATCCTTGAACGCTTTCAACTGAAGACAGCCTTTCTTTGAATTTTTCATTAAACCAGACGTCTTGAAATATGAATTCCTTTTATGTTTCTGTGAGTTTTGGCTAAGAGAGCCCCAGTGAATAAATCATACAATGCTACGTGTCACCAGCACTTGTGAATATTTCTGCTTTGTTATTCTATTCTCAGTAGAGCCCCATTGATTATCAAACTCAGCGGAGAGCATTTTATGATCATATATCTCCATTAGCGCCTAGTTTGACTACCATAGATTTTTCTGGTTAAGCCTGCATTATGTATTAGGAAGCCTATCTCTTCAATACAAAGTTTGATTTCATTTTTCTAAGCCTAGAGCTCTTATTATGTATTATGTATAAAGATTCTTATCTTTTATATGTAAGAAAAGACTGCACTGTCTTTGTGTAACTGAAATATATGCCATCTTTTTTTTTTTTCCTTCTTGATTCACAGTTAGCATATCATGATATGAAGATGAATATCTACAATGCAATGGCTGTCAGGGTAAATATTTCTTCACTTGTTAAACAAATGAAAAGTCAATTGTGCCTTGAATTCGTTTTTAATAAAATGAGCAAACCAGAATAATGCAAATTTGATTGATATGCTAATGGTAAAGAGAGAAAAGAGAACATAGTTAAAAAGTTAGCTCTACTAAATAATCCTGGCAGTATTAAAAATTAGAGTAAAATGTAAAACATGTAATTATCAATGCTTATGTTTTAGAATGTTAAATATCTCTGAGCCATAACTGGAGAAAGACCATAAATATTAATGAAGCAATGTATTAGTTTCCATATGTCATAGAGAATATTGTGATAAATAGATGAACGTGGTTCTGGAATTTAAGATTCCTGCCCAATACAAATCAATTAGAAATAATTCAAATGATTTAACAGTAATAAAGTCAGTTTCCAGCTTAGAAGTTTTATTTCTATCACTTCTGTGTTCATTGTTACGTGTTATTTTCCTGAGAGAAAGCTGGAGTTGGTGATTCTGAAATTGGCACAGAATTGGGGAATGGGGAAGGCAAAAGTTTTCTTGTTTGTTTTCTTTTTGGTCTCAGACATTATGGTCATATAATAGCTTGATTGCGAAGCTACTATAAATGGAGAAGTTACTTACGCGGGTTTTATTAATGTCCTTAAAACCTACATTCTCTTACATTTTCTTTCATTAATCTATTCATTCTTTCTTCTGGTAATAAAGGATTTTATTGGGGGTGAAAAAAGACAGTAAGATGCCCGCTGGAAGTCCTGAGTTGAACTCTGGCGGGCAGATTAACGTTATTTTGATGATTTATATTCCTGCGGAAAGGTGCCTCCCTCTGCAGGGGTGTCTATGCTGGGAGCCTCGCTTAGGGACAGTCTCCAGTATCTCTCTGTCTACCATGTGGAACTGATCACTCTCTCTCTCTCTCCTTTTTTTTTTTTCTTTTTCTTTCTTTTGATCACTCTCTCTTTTGATGTCCTTGTTTTACCATGGACACCCTTCTGTTCTAGAACCTCTGACATCTTATTAGCCTTACTCATTTACGCTGTATCCATCCCCATCCCCTCCCCTCTGTAAGTCCCTTGGGGCCTCAGATCTGATCTTCTTTGTATCTGCAGTACTAGGCTTGTAGTCAGTGATGTTGATATCCCTTAATATATCAACCAACACTGGCTTGCTCTAAGCAGGGAGTAAAACAAGTCGTTTGTTTAAAGTCCTTTCTGTCTCTGCCCCTCCAGTCCTCACTGGAGTCATGTTAGCCCTTGTGGGGGATGTTCAGGCTGTTTTGATCTCCTGCCTGGGCTGTGTGGGGTGGACAGACTGGAAGTGGGGAGGTCATATTTGGCTAGTGCAGTTCTCGTATGGATGGAAGATCTCATGAGCTTTGGAGTCCTGGCAAAGTCCCCCAACACGGACGGGTCCACTGAGTTCTGGTCTACACTGCCTTCGGAACCCGCAGGGCATCTACACAAAACCCCTCAGGCCAGGCCAGTCGGGCAGTCAGTTGCTCAGTAACTTTTTCCCTTGGCTCCTGGCCTGTTTCTCTGAGTGACACTCCATTGCCTTTTGAGTCTTTGATTTGACTTCGCTCCAGATTGCGGTTCTGCTTCTCCTCCGGCATCTTGGCCGCTTCGTAGCAGATCTCTCTTCAGTTTGGCCCCCCAAATTTCCCCACCCAGCTCTCTCTGCACAGCTTTTAGTATCTTATGCGAATGGCAGGAGGTGATTCAGCTGCCCAACTCATTTCGCTCCCTGTCCCATCTAGAGGGGCAATGGTGCATGTTTGTGTGGCGGGGTAGAGAGCTGGTCCTCCGTTTCTGCTGTTGCTTAAACATGGGTGTCACCAGAGGCCCCCAAAGCACTGGGCTTAGGAAGTCCGCTTCCTAACAGTAGTATATGTGGTATTAATATGAAGGCAAAATTACTTTGTATAGTTTTCCAGAGTGTTGTTCATTCTAAATCATTAAAAAGGTGTAATTATGAATAAGTGCTCTATTTCTGTATGCTCTCATATACATTTGGAGCATCAGCATTAGCTACATTATTAGTGAACTTTTTGTCCATGTCTTCTTTTTAAAAAAAAAAAAAATATATATATGTATATATATTTTTTCTTATTGATTTCAGAGAGGAAGGGTGAGGGAGAGAGAAGCATCAATGATGAGAGAGAATCATTGATAGGCTATCTCCTGCATGCCCCCTACTGGGGATCAAGCCTGCAACCTGGGCATGTGCCCTGCTGGGAATCAAACAGAGACCTCCGGATTCATAGGTTGATGCTCATCCACTGAGCCACACCAGCTGGGCCATGTCTTTGTTTTTCATTTTAGGTGAGAAAACATTATTTTTCTGTCTTTTGATAACATTAAGGTCACTAAGAATTTTGAGGAATTAAAGTAAACTCAATGGAGGTAGACCTTTCCTATGAGTAGATGACTTTTGATATATCAGGCTTTTGCCATTTGTTTTAGTGCTTAAAATAAACGTTATTTATAAGCCCACTTACGTTTTGATGTTACTTAATGAGGAATATGCATCATTGATTTGACTAGCTTAAGAGGTCATTTGGAAGTTGCCCGTTAACAAGCTGTAATCTGCTGAGCTCGCAATGGCTGTTTAAAATTATCTATTCAGAGCTGATCAATGACAATAATTGTTTCATACCAATCACTTCTGAAAGTAGCTGATTACTTTGAAGGACATGAAATAAAAACTCAATAAATGTTCGCTTTTGTTATTTTTAAAGAAGTATTCAAATGGTTTGATGAAGATGCAAGACATTTTGTTTAGAGAACTGATACCACTGAATTTAAAAAGCCCACTTAAAAAAAAATTTATTTCAGCCTGGCCAGTGTGGTTCAGTGGTTAAGCATCAACCCATGAATTAGGAGGTCACAGTTCGATTCCTCGTGAGGACACATGCCCAGGTTATGGGCTTGATCCCCAGAAGGGAGCATGTAGGAGGCAGCTGATCAATGATTCACTCTCATCATTGATGTTTCTCTCTCTCCTCCCTCTCCCATCCTTTCTCTGAAATCAATAAAAACATATTTTAGAAAAATTAATTTCAGTAAGACCAAATACAGTCTTCAAGTCAGTTGGTTATATAAAACAAAAAACTTGTTCAGTTGGGAAGTAGAATTAATAGGAATTGGTTAAGCAAATATTTTTAATCTTTCATAGCTAATTTCATACTTAGTATTTGTGAAACAATTATAAATATTTTAAAATAAATTATATTCCAGAAGTACATTTTTGTCATTATAATATTTTGCAATCTATGACTACAACCTACATTGGCACCTGTACATGTTGTTATGTTAATGGAGAAATTTGTGATATAATTTATATGTATTATCATCCATCATTACCTTTATTCTGATGAACTGTTAATGATTTCACTAAAAATGTTCACTGACATTTTATTTTTCTACTCACTTCAATAGATTCAGAAGCAATGGCGAGGCTATAAGATTCGGAAATACTGCTTCAATTATTATTGTTTTAAGGCATATCTGAGGGCCATATCTGAGACCAATGATGCAGTTAGGTGAGTACCATAATCACTACTCCACTAGTGAAAACTGTAGACCAGTTACTCAGCCATAATCAGGAATAATTTCTAAAACTCAGGAATAACTTAGGCAGACAGGTGTTGATAAGATAGGAATGTGATTCTATTTAACTTAAAACTTATGGTACTATATTTAAATATCTTGTATTTCTAACAGTACATTAGATTATATTATGCCTTGGTTCTATGCAAAATAGCTTAGTTTTCAATGAAATTGTTTTATTTAAAATGAATTTATCTATACAATAAATCCTGTTACCTCTGAATCCTTAAATATGATAAGTCTCAAGGGTTTTTTGAGAAACATGTTCAATAACAAGGCTTGCCTCTCATAGCAGAAAATAAAATTCCTTGGAGCATAAGGAAATGGGCCACTGTACTGTAAGGTTTTGTTTTTTGTTCGTTTGTTTGTTTTTTAGTATATGTTTACTGATTCCAGAGAGGGGAAGGGAGAGGGAGAGTGAGAGAGAAACATCAATGATGCCAGATAAACATTGATCTGCTGCCTCCTGCACGCCCCCTATTGGGAATCGAGCCCACAACCTAGGCATGGGAATCAAACCGTGACCTCGTGGGTCACAGGTTGACACTCAACCACTGAGCAGCATCTGCCAGGGCCATTCATTTACTTGTTGAAAGGTTTTACAGTGCTACTCAAAAAGACCATTTATTGTCACTCAACAAGGGATTTTAAGTTAAAGAGTGGTAGATCTTCTGTCCTTACATGAAAGTCGTGTGAATCCTAAGAAGCGGCCGTGAGGTAGACTCCCTCAGTGGGCTGTCCTGATATCCCATTTACTGTCATTGTTGGAACTCCAACGAACTTCCCCGTTTATCTATGGTGAACCCGAGCAGTTCGGCAGGACAGGGGAAGAGGCGCGGTTCCATTAAGCGCTAACATATCATTGGCTGTCAGGTGAGCCTTGTTATGCTGTCCATCCTCATTTAACTATCCCACAAGATCTCTTAATGAAGTTAAGCCCCAAGTTCACTGCCGTAATTCCGCAGCAAGAGTTGGTGCGATGTAACAATTCATCACTTGTCAGGGAGGCACTTTTAGTTTATACGTTTAATAAGGGCATCCTCGAGCTTGGTTAATTAGAAGTGAACAGTTTGCATATTTACTAAATGCGGAGTGTCATTGCCACCACGGCCTCTTGCCTGCATGAATTATTTCTCTATCTGCCATAAACAGCTGGGTAATTATTACTGCCATAATCAGATAAATTCCCTCTGTAAGGCTTTTCTTACATGGCAGCTCTTTGAACTCATCCAAAGCCGAACAGAATTTATGAACTCCAGCAGAGAGACCACTTTTTCATGCGACCGTGTCCCCGTTCCCGATTTCAAGGACACAGTAGAGCACCGGAGCCTACTGTGAAGCCCGGCCAGTGTGGCTCAGTGGTTGAGCGTCCACCCGTGAACCAGGAAGTCACAGTTTGATTCCCGGTCGGGGCACATGCCTGGGTTGTGGGGTTGATTCCCAGTTGGGGGTGTGCAGGAGGCAGCTGACGGATAATTCTCTCTCATCATTGATGTTTCTCTCTCTCCCTTTCTCTCTGAAGTCAATAAAAATATATTTAAAAAAAAAATGAACAAAGAACAGGAGGCTGATTAATAATACCTGCCCCTTACCAACCTCAGGAGAGTGTTGTGAGGATGGATTAATGTCTGGGGAAGGGCTTGGAGCTCCTGAAGAAATGCACAATGTGAATACATGTTGTTATTGTGCCTCTTGTACTTAGTTCAATGTCATTCTCAATTATTCAACATAATGTATGTTGTATAAAACTAGAGGCCCGGTGCATGAAATCTGTCCACTCGGGCAGGGTAGGAAGGGAGACTCTCAGCCCAGATTGTAAGAGAGTGCAGGTCAGATCGAGGGACACCCCACCCCCCACCCCACCCCCAGTGCATGATCGGGGACATGGAGAGATGCAGGAAGGCTCCAGAGTGTGTCTGGCCCATCTCGCTCAGTCCTGACATGGCCCCGATCCCCAGCAGCAAGCCAACCTATCGGCTGGAGTGTCTGCTCCCCTGGTGGTCGGTGCACTTCATAGCAAGCAGTTGAGAGGCCTTAGCATATTAGGCTTTTATTATATAGGATTTTTACTTCCATTTAGAGAAACTATCCAGAATAGTAAAAAGAAAATAATTTTACAGTGAAATTCGTGCGTTTTTTCAGAAATAATACTGCACAAAAGAATTCTCCTCAAGGAAGTTTATTCAAAAGAGCAAAAAGGAGGAAAAAAAATGATTTTCATGAATGATCTTTTGAATGGAATCTTATTACTTTTTAAAACCATGCAAAGTAGGCAAATGAAATAATGGAGCAATTGGACCATCAGAGTGAAGTCATGGTATGGTAATTTTATAACATGGACCATTATCATCTCTTTCATTTTCTTCATTCTCAAAATGCCTAGTCCATGGAGTCCCAGTTCGCTGGCCTCGCCTTGAGAGAGGCCGTCCACCCTTGGCCAGAAAGCCCGGCCACCCCTTCACGTAGATCCCAGGATGACTCAGCACATAGATCTCATGGTGACTCAGCACGTAGATCCCATGGTGACTCATTTTATTGAGATGATGGGACAGAAATAGAATTCTGCTGTTCAATAGTTCTGCATACTCCCAGGGAGGGCAGTGAATCAACGAGGAATGCAAGATTGAGTCTTCTCAACAATTGGGTGGATTTTTAAAATTAATTACTTTGTGTTTTGAAATGACCCAGGATTAGTTTTTCCAGTGCTTTCTCAAGTTTTTTGGATTTGCCTTTGGGGCATGCCAGTTACTTCTGGGTGGATTGTGTGGGTTGTTTGTGAGTTTGCTTTATATCCTGGTCACTGGCATTCTTTTTCCTATCTCTCGGTTTTAGCCTTCCTGGCCGAGCTCCCCAAGCTTCTTTAGCGCCTGAAGATGGACTGTTTGTGCTACTTCTCATCATTTACAGTTTTGATTTTGTGTCAGGTCCTGTGTACTTCTCTGTGTCTTACCTGTTCATGCATGTGTTCTTTGTATTGAGACTTTTTTTCTGTCTTAGGTCAGATCTCTCCATAGTCATTAAATCATTTGTAACGCACAAACTTCTTTGTAGGTATGCCGTGTGTGTGTGTGTGTGTGTGTGTGTGTGTGTGTGTGATTGCTCAGAAAATTACCGTATTTATATTCCGCGGCATATCTGAGTAATTATCCTGGTAGTGGCAGCTCATTGGTTATTTTAAATCACCTTAAAGACTTATAAGAGGAATGATAGAAGAAATATTTCTTTTTACCACAACAGCAAGAGTAAAGATGAAAAATGAATAATCTATTCAGTGTTCTATGTCACATATGCTTGTTATTTTTTTTTTTCCTGGTAAAAAATTCTCATTTATTCATAAGCAACTGCCTTGAAGTGTGTTCCTTAAGGACAAAGAAAGGTCACCCGTCCCTCTCACTCCTGGTTCTTTGTCAAAAATGGACACAGTTAATGAGGTTTGTTTGCTACAGAACCAACTCCCAGACACAGATAGAGATCCTTTCAATGGAAACAGATTTGTTTGGCTCCACCAGGTTACTCAGCGATTAATAACAGCCCCGAGGTGCAGGCCAGGCAGGTCACCGGACCCGTTGGCCAGCAAAGCTAAGCATAGCAGCCAGCCCGGCTCCATGGGGGGGGGGGGGGGGGGGGCGGAGAAGGGGGGCGCAGGAGCCCCCAAATACCGCGCACGATGGCAAACGGGCTATTTTCTGACTCCTTCTTTCATATTAATAAGCAATTTTCAAGAGAAGTGTGGCAAAATGAGGGCCATGCCACTCCAAGTAATTCATTTATTTTGCAATTTAATCTTATGTTGAAAAAAAATTGCTCTGCTGCGGCAGCGTAGCCCGGTGATTTTTAAACGTCAGGCTGTTTCATAAGTAACCTTGTCTGAAGCATTGTGTGAGGGCCCCTCGGCAGGAACTTGCCCCGGGAACATTTCCAGGCATGGAGGGAGAATGGAGAGTCTTTTCTTCTTGAGGAATTTCCCCCTCTACGTGTTTGAGGTGAAGTCCCAGGGTTCGCTTAATATTCTACTGAAATAACTCGACAGGAAGTTACATCTCTATTTTATTTTTTTTTAAGAATGAAGTCCAATTGCAAAACATGACCTTTATAGGAATAGTTAAACTTACTCTTTTAAAATAAAGGATAGCTCTTCACAGAAGTTATTTGTTTCTTCATATTGGAGAACATTCTATTTTGGAGTACTTTTTTTTTTTTTTTTTTTTTAGCATGTTTTAAAACCTTATTTTTTTTTGTTTAAACATCTTACAAGCACACACAAATGATTTAGAAAGTTTTGTTAATTTAATGGAATTTATTATACTTAGTCACAAACTTGTTCACATAATTTTTATTCTGATCATATAATTGGACAAAATGTCAACTTTTCAAGTGCATTATAGAAGAAATATAGGATAATATATATATATATTATATCTATATAGGATAATATATACACATATAAATATAGGATATCATATATAAATATAGGATTATATATATAGTGATATTATATATTATTTGAACTGTAAATGGAAACTGTTAACAGAAATAAAGTTGTAATGAATTAAGCATATGTATAAAATTAGAGCAGTTTGTATAAAAGATAAATTATGAGAGATTTCTAAATAGAAAATTAAAACTTAAAGGAACTCAGTAGATCAAATCTTTTCTTGGGATATTTAAGTACATCCAAATAGTTCATCTACAACCAAAGAAATTAATATAGTAATTCACTTACTTTGCCTTTGATATGTTCCTTAACTATTAGATTCATGGTAAGTTATAGATATTTGATTTTAAAAATGTAACCACTGAACAATCACTTTATATTTATTTTTATTTACTTTTATTTTTTATTTTTTTGAACAAACCCTCTAAATGCCTTTTAAAGATTGCAGGGACCCAGCCAGAGTAAGCAGGTGAGACGGGGCACAAACACTGACTTGCTTGTCATTAGTGAGAAAATGAAAGTCTCAGCAGACTGTCAGCATCCTGGGTAACCGCTCACTGCTCTGCTGCAGGGAGGCCCTGGATGAGTTTGCAGAGATGAAGGAGAGAGAAGAGAAGAAGGCCGACCTGGAGAGGGAGGAGAGGAAGAGAGATTACGAAGCCAGAAAGATGCATTACCTCCTCAGCACAAAGCAGGTTGGTCTACCTGTCCCTGACAGCTCGTGCGCCGCCGGGGCCCTGGCTGACAGAGACAAACTAGCAGCCTGGATGGGACATGACTGGGTGAAAGATATCACAAAGACACCACTTCGAGTTCAATTCCGTGCCGCTGGCTAGGTGCTCGCAGGCACCCAGCTCGCCTGCAACAGCGGCTTTCTAGCAGCGGCTGCTGGGATGCCAGCAGGAAGGCACAGGGAGCAGTGTGGTCTCACATCACGATTCCCTCCCCACACCCAGGGCAAACCCCGCTTTCCAAACCAGTCGGGAGCAGCTCACTGTTGTGCTGTGAATTGACCAAGAAACCAAGAACTGGCACATTATTAAGCTGGCATAGCATTCAGGTTTCTTGCACCTTTTCCAAATCCTGGTGCAAGTTTTCAGGGACAGGTCTTTAAAAAATAAAAATTATATATATATATATATATATATATATATATATATAAAAAACTGATTTTTTTTATAGAAAGGAAGGGAGAGGGATAGAGAGTTAGAAACATCAATGAGAGAGAATCATCGATCAGCTGCCTCCTGCACACACCCTACTGGGGATGTGCCTGCAACCAAGGTACATGCCCTTGACAGGAATCGAACCTGGGACCTTTCAGTCCACAAGCGACACTCTATCCACTGAGCCAAACCAGTCAGGTCTCAGGGACAGCTTTTAACAGAAGTCCTTCAGCAGTTCCATCTTTACATAGAAAAACAAGTGTGGAAATTGTATACTTAGACATTTCTTTTCTTTATATATACTTTTATTGATTTCAGAGGGGAAAGAAGAGGGAGGGAGGGAGGGAGGGAGGGAGGGGGAGAGAGAGAGAGAGAGAGAGAGAGAGAGAGAGAGAGAGAGAGAGAGAGAGAGAGAGAGAGAGAGAAACATCAATGATGAGAGGGAACCATTGATAGGCTACCTCCTGCATGCCCCCAACTGGGAATTGAACCCAAAACCTGGGCATGTGCCCTGACAGGGAATCCAACTTTGACCTCCTGGTTCATAGTTTGACACTCAACTTCTGAGACATGCTGGCTGGCCTCCTGTCAGTTTTTACTGTCAATTGATGTAGGTATTTGAAAGGTTACTGAATAAATATTTAAGTGTAAGTAATTTTTATGAGGCATATCAGAATGAGAAATGTTTTATTACCCCACTTAAGAGGATAATTGTAATAACATTTCAGCAAGGAGAGAAACACTATTTGATTGGAAGTAATTTAGAAATTATTTTAATCTAGTTGGTAGAAAACTAATTTTATGTTAAACTTTCATAGTCCTAATATAGTTTAACTTAGAGGAGTGGAAACAAAACATTAGTTCAGACAAATAACGCTTCTGAAAAGATGGATATTTTCGTAAGCTAAAATTATATTTGTAAATTCAGACACAGAAAATAAATGAAATCATGTTATTTAATATATCAATCATTTTGGACAATTATGATGATATACTGACAAACTCATACTGAAAGCACAGTTTTAAAGTCAGTTTTAAGCTCATTTTCAGTACAAATCCAATGTATGTCTTAAAAGTTCTAAAATCTACTAATTTTTACTGATATTAATTATCTCATCTTTATGTAAGCAAATATGTTAGCACAAATAGAAATCACACAACTAAACTAGTATTACATTGAGTGAATTGATAGACCCCCTCCGGCTTTTATTAATTAAAAAGTTCAAGTCATATTAAAGCACCTTCTGTATATGCTTATTTCAATCAGAAAGCTGAATGTGGTAACTTATTTGCATAAATAATCAATCACGATTTACTAGTAGTAATAAGGTTAATTTGTTGCTACAGACACAACAGGATTAGTCAATTATATTTCCTACAAAATGCTATTTGCTATGCACCCCATTACCTGGAAAACAGGATTGGGTTTGGCGCCCTTATTAAATGAACACATCAAAAAAGTCTTCATCCCTGTAAAAGTTCTATGAAAAGAGAGCTACTTTTAGTTGATTTGAATAAGCAAAATGCGGACATTGCCTCCATTTGAAAATTTAATTTATCTTTCTGCAAAGATTGATTATTTAATAAAGTTATTTATTTTGATTCACTAACCAGTCAAACTAAATCTAACACAAACAGGACATATTCCCTTTGAAGAAAATCTCATTTGCAGATTTGTTTTATTTCACATAAACTGACTTTCATCCCCTTGTCCTTGTTCTTGGTAATAAATTATGTTGTCTGCGCCACCTACTGGTGGACCCAGGCAAAGGCCCATTTGTTTGGCTCCTGGGAAGATGCTGCCTCTAAAATGTTGCCCGGAGTTTTTAAAGAGCCTCCTGGAGAGATCAGCAAAGTGGCAGAAACAAAAGTGAGACTTGAGGTTAAGTCACACATAGTTAGTCTTTAGAAATACAGGCTACAATAAGAATCTAGGGCTACATTCTTCTCAGTAGGGCTACAAGGGAAGTGGTGTTCCAGAAGAGAAGGGAGCTTCAATTATAATAATTTTTAAAAAATAGAGAGTGTGTTTATCGAAAAGTTTGGGGGGCATCGGGAAGTTGTTGGGCATGGATGAGAGACAGGTTACATGGGCAAGACTGAAAAGTGTTGGGGAAGAAAGCAGGGGATAAGGATGAGAACCAAAGAATGTAAAGGAGAGTGTGGCTGACTGGTTACCGAGTTAATTGGGCATGAGCAGTCGGACCAAGAAGCAAACAGATAAGTACTTGCTCTACCCACTAGCTCCTATTGCTGAGAAATGTTAAGTCGCTGTGCCTATCCCTTATTTCAATGATTATAGTGACGATTTAATAGACCTAAAATGAATTCTGGATTTCAAAGTTCAAGGGAAGCACTATTTCCTCAGATTTTGAAACCTGAAAAAAAAAAAAAAATGAAAAACTTGTGAAACAACCCAAAAGCCAGAAATCAAACTATGATTCATTTTACTCCAAATTCCAGCTTTTTTAAATCAAAATACCAGAGGCCCAGTGTACAAAATCCGTGCACTCGGGGGCAGGGGGAGTTCCCTCAGCCGGACCTGCACCCTCTTGCAGTCGGAAGCCCTCGAGGGATGTCCGACTGATAGCTTAGGCCCGCTCTTCCCCATCATGGGGATGAGAGCAAAGTGCAAACATCCTAGTCACTCAGTTCAGTTGTCCCCAAGTGGCAGGTGTAATCTGAACCTAATAGGTACTAATCAATAATTTCCATTCAAGAAGCCACAGGTTGATAGCACAAAGACAGTGAGAGCCCCCAGCCATTGGAAAGTCACGTGGTCTTTATTCCCGCACCCAAGACTGGCCAGCCCATGAGGCAGGCAGTCCTTGTGCTTTGACACCACCTAATGGCTTCTTCCTGTTCCCTTAAAAAAAAAAATTCTTTTTCAAAGACACATGGGAAATCAGCTTCTTCCGGAGCCCTCTTAACCCTGGGATTAGACTGTGACAAATGCCCCCTTCTGTTGCTACATTTTCTTCCACAAAAGAAAATTTCCATCCAGTGGCCTGTTTCTGCAATGCTAAGCATGTCTCTTTCCGCCATGAATTGTCCTGGAAGTCACCTTTTAAACCCTACTCTGAAATCGTTTTCCAATCCAACACCCGGGGAAGGGACCAGGCAAGAGAAAGAGCCAGGCATCCAGGGGAGGAAAAGGTGTCGAGTGGAAGGCTTTATCGGGGGAGGGCGGTCATAAACATACTTCCCTGCTTTCCTTCTCTTTTCCTGAGAGCACACAGGCTTCATTCGTATGTAATAAGCCAGTTTGGAGTGAGTGGAGATTGTGCAGAGAGGAGTCACAACACTGAGTTCTCAGATCACTGGGGATGGAACTGGAGCTCCCTCCGACTGCTCTTCTGGAAGTACCTCCTCCCCAGGTTGCCCAGGAATCTCCTGGTTAGAATCCGGGGGGCCTCGGGGAGGATTGGCACCTGGTTTATTACTCTTGTAGTCATACTCTCTGTGGTCCTTTCTTTCTTCTCATTCTCCTTCAGTAACTCGTGTGAACCTTGTTCACTGTGATTCCACGTGGGGCTACTTACACTGAATGGCCAGATTACTATGATCTCTGAACACATGATAATCTGGCCACTCAGTATACATTAGAGGCCCAGTGCATGAATTTGTGCATGGGTGTGGTCTGGCCCGGCTGGCCAGGGGGAGGGGACATGGGCAGTTGGCCAGCCTGCCTGCTGGTTGAACTCCTGGTCAAGGGGACACATTTGCATATTAGCCTTTTATTCTATAGGATACGCCCTGAGTGGCCAGATTATTATGTGTTCAGAGATCATCATAATCTGGCCACTCAGTATATAGTCCATCACATCAGTTATTTAAAGCCTTCTGTTTCTTTGCTCATCTCCTTGATGTTTTCTGGGGAAAGGTCTTCCTCCACCTCACAGGACAGACAGATCCCTTCTCTGCCTTCTGACTCTGCCAAGTACCAGGAATCGGACCTGATTGGACCGTCTATTGTCAGTGCAGGGATGTGTCAGTGCGGGAATGTGTCTTTCGTGATTGAGACTATCTGTGCACTAGTGAGGCTGTGCGTCACATGGACACACACTAAGCCAAGGCAGATCTGGGAGGCTGTCAGGGTAGCAGAAGGAGCCTGGGGTCAGAGCAGCCGTGCTGGGACCAGGGGACAGGCCTGGGGAAGTTACATAAGCAAGAAAACAATCCCAAATCTTGGCCGCAAAGGGAAGCTGTTGAGCATGGATGGGAAACAAGTTACACAGGCAGGATGGGCGTGACTCGGTGGTTGAGTGTCCACCCATGAACCCAGAGGTCACGGTTGGATTCCCAGTCAGGACACATGCCTATGTTTTGAGCTCCCTCCCCAGTAAGGGGGCATGCAGGAGGCAGCCGATCCATGATTCTGTCTCATCCTTGATGCCTCTATCTCTCTACCTCTCCCTTCCTCTCTGAAATCAATAAAAATATTTTTTTTAAAAAAAAAGAAGAAAGAAAACAAGGGACTTCTGTCTAGTTCTTGGCGGGAATCACAGATGCAGATACAGAGGCCACGG